AAAGAGTTTGAATGGAAAGAAGTATTACCTGCTGAACAACGTAATTCAACTATTAAAGAAAACCATTCAGAACCTAATGCTGGACACTTAGGAGTCTTCAAGACCTACAAACGCCTGTCTCTCCGATATTACTGGCCGAGTATGCACGCCGATGTCGTGAAGTTTGTTTCAGCATGTGATACTTGCATAGCACACAAGCATCAAAATCACGTTCCGTTAGGTGTTATGGGACACCCTAAGGTATGTTCTAGACCCTTTCAAACAATTAGCGTGGACCTTGTAGGACCTCTCCCACCGACGAGAAAGCAAAATTGCTACATATTCGTGGTTACATGTTGCTTTAGCAAATATTGCCTCTTATTTCCCATAAAGCGAGCCACAGCTGAAATAGTAAGTAGAATTCTGGAAGAAAGTGTATTTTTAGTACATGGAATTCCCTCAACCGTAATACTAGACAACGGTAAACAATTCGTTAGCGCTATTCTAAAGAACACCCTTTCTAAATATAAAGTACCTAACCTACATTATATGTCCAAATACTCACCACACGTAAACACAGTAGAACGTTATAATAAAACGATAATTACTACGATATCCACATATATTGAAAATGATCATAGAGTGTGGGATAAACTAATTCCTCAAATTCAGTTCGCAATAAATAGCGCAGTTAATGAAGTAACTGGCTACATTCCCTCTTTTCTCGTATATGGCAGAGAATTAGTTTCTTGTGGTTCTCACTACGCCGATGCTGAGTCCGATGACATTATTTATCACCCTCGAGACTCTTATGCTGAGAATTTAGGTTGCCTGTCTAGTATCTTTGACAAAGTGCAAGCCCTTCTACTACTAAGCACATTCCAAAAATTGTCATAAATATAATTTAAGTCGTCGGCCTGCTGAATATAATGTAGGGGACATAGTATGGAAGAGGACATTTTATCAAAGTGATAAAGATAAATACTTTAATAAAAAATTAGCTCCCAAATTCACTAAATGCAAAATTATTACTAAGAAATCGCCACTTGTGTACGAATTATCTGATATGACCGGTAAATCTATAGGATATTGGCACATAAAAGACCTACAACTTGTAAATTATACAAAATAAATATTTTCCTCTAGACTAGAAACAGATAGACGGATTTTACTACTAAAGACGCAAAATCCTTCTTCAGTTGGCGGGGTACTGTAACGGTACATCTGAATGCACCCTTACAAATACTTATAATTGACTGATCTTAAATCTTAAATAATAATAGTAATATAATACTCTAATCTATAAATAAAAAGTAATAAACTATTACATATTGTTAATTTAAAATAGTTATTCTACGGAACCATAAACTAGTTAATTTAATCCGCGCAGCGTGAACCATTTTGCTCACCGATCTCTAAAACAAAAGACTCGGTAGGATTCGGACACGACGACGAGTCCCCGTTCGGGCCATTCCTCTTTCATTTCTACCTGAGACCGCTTCAAGTTCGCAACGCGCGTGACCCTCCTACTAACGACCGTTGAACCTGTTTACCTACAATTAAAATCTAAATTATTCGAGGTGCAGTTGATCCCGCTGGGGTGAGTTCTTATTTATTGAAACATTGTAACTGTTCTGCTTAATTATTACCTCTTTTGCTGAGGCTGCTTAGTGCTTAGCTTTAAGAATTTTAACTTCCTACAAGGGGTGCTGGAACTGACTAGGGCACATGTAGTGCTATAGGAAGTTTCCCTAATGCTGGCCTCCGTCTGGAATTCCAGGATCTACGGCTGCCTAGGATCTACTGCTACCTAGGATCTACTACCACCTAGCATCTACCTGCTACCTAAGAGCTACTGCTGCCGAGCCGCGAGCTAACGGAGTGTTGGCCTACCCTCCTACCAACGGCCATCATCACTGTCGGGCTTGTGATTCACCGGCTTCTTCTGCCAGCTGGCTGTCTACGGCCCGGGGGAAAAGCGCTTGGACTTCGCCCCTACGTCAGGCCAGTGATCCCCTTTATAGAACTTACTTGTACGTGTGCGGAAGTAAGAGTAATAAATAATTACAACAAATCTTGGCGTTTTAAGAACCCACCTATTCTGTACCCCTAACGGTACAGTGCTCGCGGCTCGGCAGCAGTAGCTCTTAGGTAGCAGGTAGATCATGTTTTTTACAGATTGGAGCGAATAGATACTGACTTATATCCAGACTTTAAAGCTATTTTCGATACTTTGAAGATGAAATTTGACGCTATTACTAAACAATTCGAATCCTTGACTCCACCTTCAACTGAAAATGACTCTCCATCACTTGACCCTCCTGTTGACCCGACTGTCATGAAACCCCTCTTGTTTCTCAAACTTCTGTTCAGATCCATACCCCGTATCCTTCACCACCACCTCAATCTTTTTCTCCAACTAACGCTTTCACTTAGCTCACGCTAAAAATAGCGCTCGCTATGATCTTCGCCGGTCTTTTAAAGAATTTAATGTGGGAGATACTGTTTGGCGTAAAAACCATGTTTTAAGCAATGCCGGCGCATACTTTAATGCTAAACTTGCCCCTAAGTTCAAAAGTGATAGCTAAACTGTCACCACTAGTCTATGTGCTTGAAGACCCTAATAGAGTTAGAGGCAAGTGGCACATCAAAGATGTAAAATCATAAATTTTCTTAACTTTTATTAACTGTTAATTTGTATATATGTATAAATATCACCATCATTTTCACCTTATTATTTTTATTTCTTTTAATTTGTTTGTTTGTTTGGTGATCCAGTGTTCTTCAACACATCTTGCTTTAGGACCTCGAATTTTCGTTGGTTAATCTTCACTTTTTATTATTATTTCAGACACATCTCGTTAGTGATGTTGCTGATCTCTGGCTTTGAGCTCTACCGCTCTGGCCGTTCTTAATCTTTACTTAAGTCATAGCGACTAAAGCTTACTTAAGATTAATTTCTTTATCTTTATCTTCACTTGGGAGCGGCTGACTACTCCCTTAATAATTTTTTTTTCCACGCAGGAGCGGATGACAACTCCTTAAATAAGCCTGAATGTCCTTTCGAAAACACACTTTTAGAGTGGTAGTCATTGAATGTGAACTCCACCCTTACCTGAATGCAGATGATGAATGTAAGAGAGAGTATATCTGATTTTGCCTGGTGATGTCTGTTTCTGCAAAGCTGTGTTTTTATGGTTTATTTTAGAATGTACATATCAAAATTTTTGCTGAATCAAAAATTTTCCAGGGTCGGGGGGAAAATGTAGTGTTATGCTACTTACATATCATTTTACACTATTTTAAATTCATTTTTCCATTCTGTTTTGATTTTCTGCATTCACCTCAAAACTGGATATTTTGTATCACCTTTATTTCCATAGGATCCTGTAACGTTTTAAACCATAAGAACACAATAACAAATCATTTTCACTTCGTATTTTCACGCTATCAGCATTTTTTAAATCGGTTTCGATGGAGTCTACCTTTTTCGATCTTTTATTTAGTTCTCCGTTACTGCAATTTCGGGCTTCGTGCGCGCTGGTGCGCTACCTTTTTTCCTATATCAATAATATCTCATTTTTCACTTAAATCTTGCCGTTTCTCTATTACGAGCCTGAAACCAAAATTTTACATGTTTTGACATCGTTGTTTATCTGGTTGTCATGGCAATTTTTATTCAAATTCGTTACCGGTCTGTTGTTTTTACTTCAATATTTCCACATAAATACTCTTTTCCTCTTAGCCATTTACAAAAAATTTGCTTTTAATTTAAATAATTTTCCGTTCTCTCTAAATAGGTATAAAAGCCGAACAATCGGCCGATAAATTGAGTCTCGCTTCAGCTTTCAAACTTGAAGCATCTCCTAAAGGCCTTATCCCGGGGCCGCACTGCCCCGGGATCCTGAAAGCCTCTGCCTTCACCTGAAGTCGTCGCCTAGCCACGCCCACGCCTCCACCTACTAGTGCCCACGCTATCTTTAGTCGTTGTGCGTGCTTGCTCCAGGCGCTGCGAGCGCTTACTCAAAGCGCTGTGTGTGCCTACTCCAGGCGCAGCGTGTGCCTACTCCAGGCGCAGCGTATGCCTACTCCAGGCGCAGCGTGTGCCTACTCCAGGCGCAGCGTGTGCCTACTCCAGGAGCAGCGTGTGCCTACTCCAGGCGCTGCGTGTACCTACTCCAGGCGTTGCGTGTGCCTACTCCAAGCGCTGCGTGCGCCTACTCCAGGCGCTGCGTGTGCCTAGACCAGGCGCTGCGCACCTACCACAGGCACAGCCTGATTATACTCCGTGAGCAGTGAGCACCACCGCCAAGCGCGGTGTGCCACTTTGGTCTTCGGGCTAAGCTTCAGTACTCATTTATCTTTATTATCTTTTTTAAAATACTTGTAATTCACGTCACCCATCATCATCATCATACTTAATTTTTTATATAAAACTGTAAATACCTTATTAAATTTTAAATAAATTATTCGTTTTTGTTCTATTTTTGTTGTTTCGTTGATGTTAGGTTAGGTTCTTTTGTTTTTAATTGTCGCTTCACGACAAGTGTCAATAGTTCTAGTGTAGATTTTAACTCGACTAGCCGGTGTCATATATTTTGATCCACATTCAACGTAGATTTCCCGTCAAGTGCCGTGTATAATTGTGTTGTGAAATCGTAAGTAAAACTCTGTTATTAATAAGTGTTTCCCTACCTATTTAATCAATTATTTTTGGTAATTTAAAAAAGGATGGGTAATTTAAGTAGGTACTGTAATTGTTTTTAGGTGCTGTGTTAATCCTAGCCAGGATTAGAACGCAACATGGACAAGCCAGGACCTAGTAAAAAACGTAAGGTTAAAGATGAATATCGGCAGTTTCAAGAAATTTGGACTGAGAAATACTTTTTTGTATGGTCGCATAATAAAGTCGTTTGTTTAATTTGCAAGAATTCTGTTGCGATTGAATATAATGTAAAAGGCACTATGAAACGCAGCATCTTACTTTTACCAAGTTTACAGGCGAATTAAGAAAGCAAAAAATGTTGTCTTTAAAACGGGAGCTTATTGGTCAGCAAGCTATGTTTACAAAACCCATTCAAGATTCAGAAACAGCTACAGAAGTTAGTTATGAAATTTCTCGAATGATAGCAAAGCGAAGTCGCCCCTTCAATGATGGGGATTTTGTAAAAGAATGCATAGAAATTGCCGCTAAGAAAATGTGTCCGGAAGCAGCAAAAAAGTTTGAGCAAATTCAACTGAATCGTATGACTATCCAAAGACGAATTATGTCTTTGTCAGGTAATATTGCGGAACAATTAAATGAAAAAACTAAGACCATTGAATTTTTTTCATTAGCACTCGACGAATCCACTGATATTAGTTCCACAGCTCAACTTATGATATTCATACGAGGTGTTACTCAAGATTTTGCAGTCTTAGAAGAGTTATTAGGAATGTGTTCATTGAAAGGTCAAACCAGAGGAGTTGCTATACTCAATGTACTTTTGGATGAGTGTTCAAAAACTGATTTGGACTTATAAAAATTATCGGGAGTTGCGTCTGACGGTGCTCCTTCGATGATTGGTGTCAATTCTGGGCTAGTTACTTTGCTGAAAAAGCATCTGCAAGAAAAAAACATAAACGCTGAAGATCTCATGCAGTTTCACTGCATTGTACACCAAGAAGCCCTATGTTCTAAAAAAATTGAATTTCAAAATGTCATGAAAGTGGTAGTTTCGACTGTAAATTTCATAAAATCACGAGGACTCCATCACAGGCAATTCAAACAATTCCTTGATGACATTGAAAGCGAATATGGAGATTTACTGTATTATACAGAAGTAAGGTGGCTAAGTCGTGCATTGACACTGGAACGATTTCTAAATTTAATAGAAGAAATTGGAATATTTCTGGCGGAAAAGCAAAGGGATGTCCCGGAACTTAAAAATCCTGATTGGTTGTGTGATTTGGCTTTTTTAGTTGATATTACAAATCATTTGAATGTCTTGAAGACACGGCTTCAAGGCAAAAATCAACTGATATCCCAGCTCTACGCTCACGTATCATCCTTTCAATGCAAGCTGACACTTTTCAGAATTATAAGAAAATGGCTGAAAAATTCAACAAAACTGCGATTAATTTCAGTTATGTAGAAAAGTTAGATATTTTGATTCAATCTTTACAAAACAGATTTCGGAGTTTAAAAAAGTGAAACCTCTGTTGGACATATTCAGCAATCCTTTCACGATTTTAGTTGAAAATGCGCCAGAGTCAATGCAGTTAGAAATTATCGACATTCAAAACGACCAAGATTTACGCAACAAATTCAACGAAGGAGGCTTGCTGAACTTTTACCGCTGCATTGAAAAAAATACGTATAAAGAGTTGCGCATAAACGCTCTGAAATGTGCCAGCTTATTTGGTTCTACCTATATGTGAACAAACGTTTTCAATACTAAATAATAATAAAACAAAAAATCGAAACCGCCTTGCAAATGAAAGTTTGGAAGCAGTTTTACGTGTTGCTACAAGTAAATTTGAGCCAAATATAAAAAGATTGTAAGCCCTATGCAGTGCCACGCTTCAAATTAATAAATTCTTTTTCAATTTTAAAACATTATTATCAATTCTTTATAGTCTTTAATTACCTGTACTTCTGGCGGCCCGCCATCAGTTCATAATTTGCCCGAGTGGCCCCTAGTCTTAATAAGTCTGTGCAACACTGATCTATAGTAATAATGTGTGAATTGAAACAAACCATTAAACATCTCAATTTATTTATTATTTTTATTTCACAATTAAACTAATGCATCTCTTATTTTATTGCCCAAATAAAAGAGACAGCTTGCACTTTGGCTACCTCCGCCTGCATTTTGGCAGCCAGCATCTGTAACGAAAGATTAATAGATTAAATGCTTGCTAATTTTTCAGCATGCTGGTTTGCAGATTTTTGTTCTTACTTAATCATGCTATAATGGCAGAAGAGATTCATATGAAAGAAGGATGGCGATGCATGTATTTTGGGACCCACTGATAGGAATAGCGTTCATTAGTTGTAGATCGTGACAAAACTAACAAAGAAGCAACTGGGATGCAAGTCTAAAAAAGTGGGAGAAAAAAGATATACTTAAAAATAGCAAATAACCTAAAAGTAGAAAATAACCTAAAATTATTATTCAAAAAAGAATCAGGATTGTGCCAAATGGAAGTCCATAGTCTCTACCTACCCCTCTGGGTGACAGGCGTGACTGTTTGTGTGTATTATTCAAAAAACACCCATTATGGGTAGATGTTATTGCTCAATTGTACCTGAATATTATTTGTATTAAAAAGTACATATAAGTACCTATAATAGTACTTTTATATGTATATAGGTGACATGGAAGTACTAAAGTTTATTCCATAGTCAATGGTATTTTGTTAATAATCAAACTCTTACACATAATTATTTATGTTGTCTTTACTTAATTACTGCTTGCTAGAAGAGAGATGTGAAAGGTTGACCAGCTGTGGGACAATTTCGAACATTGAAGAAAAGGTACCTACTTTTACTTTGAATACAAACTAGTTACAATGATGAAAGCAATAACAATAAAAAAATTATAAGGGCTGTCATGTCAAAAAATGTCCAGTGAACAAAGTAAATATTATAATCACTACATTAATTGGCAAATAATGTTCTGTTAATGCAAGATAAGGTACGACTTTCCATTGACGTCAGTCGAGTTTGGTGTTGCTACGTATTATTACAGAAAGATTACATTTTTATAAGCACACACACAAAGATTCAATATGCGGAAACACGTACTTATTGAGAAAAAAATATTGTAAATCAAATAATTTTGTAAAATCAAGCAATATTTAGTCAATTCCTACCGTGAAACTGACGCCATTTTTATTATTATTGTCAGCAGGGATGTCGATTCTTTCCGAAAAAGATCGATTTTTTAAATAGATTCGAATTGTAAGCTGATGTATCGATTCCCAAAAAATCGATTTCTAAAATATCGATATTTTTTTCTAGTCTGCATTTATAATGTAAATATAAATCCATTTTATGAGAAAAAAATCCCCTTCGTCATAAAAAAATAAGGGGACTGATTCAGAAGGATTTCTGTATCTATTTTGAGACTGCTACGTCTCCGGCGCTGCGGGAAGAGCAGCCTCTACGCCTTAGCGTAACAAATCGCAGGCATCCCTCCTCGCCTCCGCAGCTTCGGCTTGTTACAGCAGGCGGAGCCTGCTCCCCCTACGCGCCTCCGGCTTAATAAAACCACTCTAGGGGTAGGACAGACTCGTACCAGGTGGATTCGGGGTCAATCAATTCGGTTCTTTGACATATGTTGAACCTAGCCTATTTTATTTGTTATCTGCCCTAATAGGTACTATTAAATAAAACAAATTTCAATAAGAGATCATTTATCATGGTATCTTTCTTGTTTTTCATAAAATGGGTTCATATTTACATTATAAATAGAAACATTAAAAAAATATAGATATTTTAGAAATCGATTTTTGTGAACCGATACATCAGCTTACGATTTGAATCGATTTAAAAATCGACCTTTTTCGGAAAGAATCGACATCCCTATTGACGTCGACAATGACATTACAAAATGGCGCTAGTTTTATCATAGGATTAGACATAAACATTGCAAGAATAATTGATTTTCAATAATTATTTTCCCAAAAATTACGCGTTTCCGCATGTTGAAACTTTGTGTGTGTGTGTGTGCTTATAATAGTGTAACTTTTCTGTAAAAATACGTATCAACACCAAACTCGACGGACGTCAATGGAAAGCTAAGCCATAATTAATTCTTAGTACGTTTCGTGTTCTTTTTTGTATCATGTTCGTGATGTTTTCAATGGTGGGGAACAGTGACGCAGGCGCAGGCTCGATTTCGAGCTGCACGTAAGTACAACCTACAACACCTATTTTCGAATCTATCGTTGTACCTATATTGTATACTTTGTTGAAAGACTATGTAATGTTTACATTTTGAATATACTTCTATGTATTTTTCAGACGTAAACCCACACCACGTGGTAGAGCCATGCTGTAGCTATATTACTGGTATAGTTGTAGCACGAATGGGTCGGCTCGACCGGGGAAGGACCACGCTCTCACAGAATACCAGCGTAAAATAGCAGTTTAATGCTGCTGTGTTTCGTATGGTGAGTGTAGAGAACCGGAGACCCTTTTTACTGGAAAAGAGGCATTCCATCTTAGTCCTCACGGGTGACAACGTATCTGCATTTTGATTCGTAATCGAGGATAGATGCAGATGTCTATGGGCCACAGCAACCACTTACCATCAGGTGGACTGTGTGCTCGTTTGTCACCCTTATCCTATAAAAATAAAACACCACGCGTAACAAGGTGGCAGATTGAGCCACTTGTGTCGAAGTCAGCAGCTCGTCATTTTTTGTTAATAAGAATATTTACCGGCCTGCAGGACAAGAATTTTAAAATGAGCTGGAAGAAAGTAGCTGACGAGTTCAACCAGTTCCCCCTTTCAAGACGCCAGAGCAGTGGATAACAGTTAAGTTTCTATTAAAGAATTTTCTAGATTTTCTACTAATAGCTTATACATAAATCAGCCAGCACATTGTCAGTTTTATTGTAGGATTAGACATAAACAATGCAAGAATAATTGATTTTCAATAACTTTTTTTTTCAAAAATTACGCGCTTCCGCATGTTGTAACTTTGTGTGTGTGCTTATAATAGTGTAACTTTTCTGTAAAGATACATATCAACTCCCAACTCGACGGGAGTCAATGGAAAGTCGTACCTTAATTATTTTTGCAATCAACAAGAAGTTAACATTAAGACATTTTCAAATTTGATTTTGTACCGATTTCGACATTAACACAGTGTTGCAAGGAGTCAAACTTTTATGTCCTGTGATATTTAACAAGTTAGTTAAATTCTTAGAAACGGAAAAAGCTGCTTGGAAGTTGCTATGAAAATAATTTTTATAAGATAAGGTTTCTACTGTTTCTGTATAATTTTCAAAGAAAAGCAATTATTTTTATAAAATTATGTCTACCAATTTTCCCTGTAATTCAAAGAGATTTTTTAACATCCAATATTTTTTTAGAAAACACCGCACTATGAATACGTTTTTTCTCAGCGTAACAACATCATAACGTGAAGATATATCAGAATTTTATTCGGTATCTCGGCTGTAGAGACTAGCATTTATCGTAAGCATCGTTACGGCAAACATTTTTTTACGTTATTATTTAGCAATCAGCAGTTAGCAATGGCGTTGTCAAGGCGTTGTTATCTATGTTGAGACTGCAGGCACTGTGTTGCCAACTTTATTTTATAGATCATACCATAAACTGAAAAACGTCGTATTTTGCTAAGAATACGGAAAAAAATAATTAGTACGCATTAAAATTTCAATAAAACAATGGTAAAAAATACAATAATAATATTATTATAATGTCAAATCAAAATTTTACGTTTAGAGTATAATATTTAAGAATATGACAATACAAGAAGGTTGGCCAAATCGTACCAGACCAAG